GCGCCCGCGGCTCGTCATCACCCCGGCCATGAGCAGCCCCGACTTCGCCGGCGTCACCTTCCAGAAGACRGTGCTGGTGGGCGTGCGGCAGCAGGGCCGGGTGCTGGTGAAACACGCCTACAGCTTCCACCAGAGCTCGGACGAGGCACCCGACTTCCTGGCGCACGCCGACCTGCAGAAACGCACCTCCGAGTACCTCATCGACAACTCCCTGCACCTCCACATCATCATCAAACCCGTCTACCACGCCCTCATCAAGGTGAAGAAGTAACGAGGGACAGACGGGCCCCACGGGGGCAATGCTGGGTCCTCCTGCTCATAGGTAGATGGGGGTCCCCACAGTGGGGGACCCCAGGGCTGTGCTCTGTGCTGCCCCACCCTCCCTGAGTGTCCCTTGTCATGTCCCGTCCCCATCACTGTCCCTGGGGATGGGGGGTGCCGGGAGCCCTCCAGCACTGGGCGGGGGGTGCTGGAGGCAAAACATGCACCCCACAGGCACAATGCAGATCCCATGGGGACAAGGACAGCCCATCCTGTGGTGCCACCCCTGCAGCACTGGGACCCCTCTGTGTGGGCAGCTGGGTCCAGCTCAGGGGCAAACTGGGAGCTGCCAGGACTGGGGATGAGGGGTCTGCCTCTCCTAGGGGAGGAGGGGTGGGGGGCACCACCCCTGCTGATGGTGGCAGCTGCCCCATCCCTGTCCGGGCACCCCCAGCTCCTTCCTAATAAATCAGAAAACAAATGTGGGGACGTGTGGGGCATCTTTGTGGTGACACCGCTCCCCAGCTCAGTTCAGCTTATTTTGATGGAACCCCTGGGAAGGAAAACACCCGTGGAGACACCTGGTCCCTGGGTGTCCCCATCAGCACCTGGCAGTGCTGGGGGATGGCTGTGTCCCCCTGTGTTGAGCATCCACAGGACCCTGGAGCAGCCACATGGCTCCATCTCGTGAGGATGCATTTCCCTGTGGGGACAAGGGTCCCTGTTTGGGGGGGGTTTGGCACGGGGAGAGCTGGCCCTGGCATCGCACACCCACGGGCGGGTTCATCCTCGAGCAGAGCCTGGGGGAGGGTCCTGCGGGGGGGCTCCCCACCCCAGCCCCCAGGGTGCCATCTGGGCCATATCCCCATCACTGTGAGAGCACTGCCGGCAGCTCGTTAATGATTAATTAGCGGGGGTGAGGAGTGGGGGCGGCTGCGGGTGCTACCGGCAGGGBAGTGTTTACCCAGCGCTGATAACCCAGCCGGGGGCTGCTCCCGCAGGGCCAGCGCTGGGGGACACACCGGGCTGTGCTCGGCAGCACCATCCAGCTGGGAGGGAGCCTGGAGGGGACCAGGCCCCCCCTGCTGCCACCAGCCACCCTGCTGTGCCCTGTTCCATGGGCTGAGGACACTCCAAGGGACACCCTGAGCTGCCATGGGTGCTTGGCCAGGCTCAGCCACCGGCTTTGAGCCATGTCCTGGATTGAGGAGGGGACAGGAGGAACAGGATGACTTTCCCACCCTCTGCTCGACCCTGCTGTGACAAAAGAGGAACCATGATGTGGAAAGCAGTGGTTTATTCACCACAAAGAAAATCAGGATGCCAAGAGCCAGGGAGCATCTGTGGGGTCAGGATGCTGTGCAGGGCCCAGCCCACAGGGGCACAGAGCCCACGGGTGCTGCCCAGCTCAGGGCCAGTGGCCTCATCCCTGCAGGAGCCATGGAGCAGCAGCTCTGGCACGGAGGGGAAAGGAAGGCGAAGCTGGAGTGCACTGACCTTGGCATCCTCCCCCTTCTTCTTCTCCTCCTTTTCCTATTGCTATGCAGCCGCCTCCTCTTCTTGACTCTGAAACACAGAGGCTGACCCTGTGCCCTGCCCTCGGTGGGGTCTCTGCCACAGCGCCCGCTGTGTCCCGCCCCCCATACCTCTGAAAACAGGGACACTGTCTCTCCCCTCCTCTGCTGCTCAGTCTTGATGACATTGAAGAATTCCTTGCGGGCCTGCTTGAACACCTCCTGGGGATCCTCCGGCTCTTCCTTCTTGGCCTTTGCCAGGAGCTGTGCCCGCACCTGCAGCTCCCGCTGTTTGTCCTGCAGGACCTTCTCCCGCCGCGCCTCCCGCTCGAACATCTGCGGTGGGATTTGGGGCTGAGGGGTGTGGGGGGCACGGGGGACCCTGTGCTGTGCCCAGGGACAGCGCAGGGCTGTGGGCAGAGCTCTGTGCGTGGGGCTGGGGCCGTGCCCATGGTGAGGGGGCTCGGCTGGGGCCTGGCACACACCGTGGAGGTCAGGGACTTCTCGTTCTTCCGGAGGGTGCAGAGCCCCGAGGAGATCTCCAGGATGTTGATGGTGCCCTGCTTGGTGCCACAGCCAATGATGCGCCCGTTGTCCTGTGGGCGCAGGCTGAGGAGGGGATCGTTGCTCATCTGGGGATGGGGGACACATGGGTTGTGGCACTTGGCCCTGGAAGTCGGGCAGGATGAGCTGGCAGAGGCAAAGCCACGGGGCTGCCAAACTCACTCCCCTCTCATTGCTTGGGGCTCAGAGGAGCTGGGGACCCACCTTGAGGCTGAGGGAAGGCTCCTTCTGGTGGAAGAGGAAGTCCCAGACATCCAGGGTCCCATCTGACCTGACAGTGAAGAACACAGACGGCTTCACGGGGCTCCAGCACCCGTCCAGCAGGTAGGGAACGTGGCACCTGCGGGCAGAGCTGCGCCTCAGCCACACTGGCACCGCTCTGCCTTGGCCTGTCCCACCACCCCGAGCTGACCAGACCCTGCTGGCACCTCCCTGAACACGCTCTGCCACCCAGGGATGGCTTTTGGCCAAGTAAACACACCCTGACACCTACTTGGTCTCCATAATCGATGACGAGTCCAGGTTCTCCTCCGACCAGATGCGGGCAGTCCAGTCACCCACCGACAGGAAGACTTTGGGGTTGAAGGGGCTCCTGGCCACGGCATAAACAGCCCCGATGTGGCCATTGAAGACGTTGGCGATTTTCTCGGGGGGGGTCTTGGCGTCACGGTTGCAGTTGATGATACTGCCCTGCTCTGTGCCCACCAGGAACTTGGTGGGCTGAGGGTGGGAGCAGGAGAGAGCAGCTGTCAGCAGGATGGGGGTGGACAGCAAGGGGGCCCTGCTGCAGCCAGAGCCCTGGACCCACCACCAGTGGGGGATTTAGGGACTGAAATGCCAGAATAACCCTGTGTTTTGGGGAGCACATCCCAATTCTTCATGAATCTGGCCCCTTGGGCTGTGCCCGTGGTTGGGGTATGAGCAGTGGGCACAGGGACACTGACCATGGAGAGCGAAAAGTCCAGGGAGATGGCACCCAGGGCATTCTTCAGCTGGTCTTCCCGGGTGATGTCCAAGACCAGCCTATCGCTGGGCTGTGACAGCTTGCGGATGTCCCACCACAGGACCTGTGGGGGAGAGGCCATGGCAGGGGGCTGTGGGGGCTGCTCCTGCTCACCCAGGAGTGCCCTGTGCCAGCCCAGGGGGCCTGGATCTTGTGCTGCTGAGGGGCAGCACAGGTAAGGGAAGCTCTTTTGGGTCCCCTCAGGAGCAGCTGGCACCATCCCCTGCCCTGGCCCCTGTCCTGCCCCAGCCCCTCACCTGCCCATCTGTAGAGGCTGAGAAACACTCAGTGCCTGTTCTGGAGGGCAGCCAGAGCGCTCCATACACGGGGTCCCTGTGGCTGAGCTCCACGGGGGTCGCCTCCATGGGCAGCCCCCCTTTCCTGGTGTCCCAGTACACTGGGGAGGAAAAGAAAAGCCTTCGCTCAGCTCCTTTCCTTGTCATGCTTTCCCCTTCCCAAGTCAGAGCAGGGAGCAAACCTCACCAGGTGCTTTCCACGTGCTTCCCACCCCCAGGGGTGGTGGGAGAGGGGGAAGCACAGCACCCTTCCTGCTCAGCCCCTGGATCCAGCCACCCCTCCCTGCCATGGCTGCCCTGAGTGCTGCAAAGGGTTCCCTGGCATTGTGTCCTCCCTTCCCTGGGTACCCACTCAGGCTAGCACACACCTGTCCACAGGCAAATCCCAGGCCCTGCTCCAGTGGGGTATTCCCAGTGGCAGCACTAACTGATGACACCCTGTGAGTGCAGTAGTGCTGGAGCCAGGCTCCTGCTGAATCAAGCCCCCACCTGCCCCATTCCCCTCACCTATCTGCCCGTTGTAGCAGCCTCCCAGCAGGTGATGCCAGTCCTTGGGATTGTATTCCACGGTCACCACAGGGGACGAGAGCATGAGGGTGAGCAATGGCTTGTAGGGGTATTCTGCCAAGGAGGGACGAGTGAAGAGCAAAGGGTGAAGGCAGCACCCCAAAACCAGCCCCCCATCCCACCCCACTCCCTGCCATGGATGTGCTGGATGAGGTCACTGGGATGTGGCAGGGAAGGGAGCTGGCCTGGACACAGATCCCTGGTACCTCCACCCCTCTTCTTTGTCCTTTTCACCCCAAAACAAACCAGGTCTGAGCGAGGCTTGGACAGATCAGGGCAATTCTCAGCCCAGGCTCCTGCTGCCTCTTTCTTCCTTCGTCAACCCAAATGAACCACATCAGGACAAGAACCTTGTACAGGGCACATGGCTCTGCTGCCTGTTGTGGTTCCGGAGCCATGGAGTGGGATTTTATTTCCCGCTTTCCAGCTCCCATTTCTCCCCGTTTCTGCACGGCCCAGACCTCCCCCCCGACCCTCCCCGGGTGCTGCGAGGCCTCATCCTGCTCTGAGCCACAAAGTGCTTCCGCTATCGACCGGTGGGTTCTCCCCTCCCCTTACCCATATCCCAGATGAAGGAATCAATGCCGATGTCTCTCCTCTTGTCCTGGAACTCCAGGCTGCAGTAAGCCACGGCCAGTTCCTTGCCGGCGTCGGGGTGCCAGGAGAGGTGTGTGGCCGTCCTCCTGACCGGGCTTGGGTCCCTTTGGGATGACAGGTCATCCAAGAAAGGTTACTTTGCGAATCCCTGGGATGAGCATCTCACAAAGGAAGTTGTGGGAACCACAGTTAAACCAATCTGCAGCCCTCAAGCCTTGAGTGCAGGAAATGATTCTCCGGTGGGTTGGGGGGAGAAAAGTTGATGATTTCATCATCTTTCCAGTTATACCTTTCTGAAAATCCAATTCTCTTACTGGATCTGCCTCCCAAAACAACCCAACAGCCCCTGATGCTGAAATTAACCTTTGAGGCACTGAAAAACAAGCAGGAAAATCCTCATGCTCAGAGCTGAGTCTGATCCTGGTTCCCATCCCCAAATCACCGGAGCAGGGGAGGGAAGGGAGGGAGGATGGATGATTGGCTCTCCAGCCACAAACTGATCCAGGACTATCCTAAACCCACTGGAATTTAGCTCCTAAAGGTTTGAAGGTGGTTTGACCCCACTGTGGCCCCGCGGCGCCTGGTGAGCCCCCCTGGCTGGGCTACCTGAAGGCACTGATGGTTTTGGCAGAGGGAGGGTCCTCGATCCCCTCTTCCTCTTCGTCGTCTGCAAAATATTCCTCGTAGATGTCGATGGCATTGTTCTGCCTGATGCAGTGCTCCATCAGCTGCAGGGACAGCACAGGATGTGTCTCTGGGGGCTCTGGGCGGGTCAGGGGCTTTTGGAGGGGGAGCATGGGCAGGGCCTTACAGTGCCAAGGTGCTGGATGGTTCTGGTGTAGACCTCATCCCTCTCCACCTCCTCCCTGTAGCGGGAGGTCAGCTCCGTGTTCTTGGGGTCGACGTGCTTGGGCCACCCGCCCTCCACGTGGTTCATGCCCCGGGATGTCGCCTGCACCCGCTCCGTGTTCACCTGGGCAGGGGGACACAGAGGGATCGGAGGCCCTGAGCCCAAAATGTGCTTGACTTTGTGGCCCCACGAGGGCCCAGCACAGCCCCCAGAGCCCCCCGGGGCGGTGCCCCCGTACCTCGTGCAGAGCCATGACGGGCGCGTGCTGAAGGGCGAAGTCCACGGGGTCCTGGGGGATGAAGTCTTCGGCCAGGCTGGGGTCCGGCGGGATGTCCACGGTCACCTCGGCCGGCAGGTCCGAGAAGTTGCAGGGCCGCCCAAAGTCGCTGCGCTTCCGC